TTTATTGGACTACAATTGGACTAGATTATCTAAGTCCAGCTACTGACCGTCCAATGGACTGGACTGGACTGGAACACATGTTCCAGTGGACTGGACTAACCCAAGTGACAACCCTGCACTAGACGCAATACACATTCCTTCTCCACGAACTAAGTCAATACTTAGTAGATTGTCAAAGGCAGGATCAATCAAACGCCCCCACACATTTACTTCGTACCATCCTTCAAGTTTGGAATGGTCAAATGGATTTTCATCCTTATTCCACAAAAACATCATTCCCTGATAAGCATAATTAATAAATTTGATATCGAAATCATCTGATAAAAATGATTCATAAAAAACTTTTCGCAACTTTATAGGATCATCAATGCTGCAAATTTTCAAAAAATCTATAATAGAAGATTTGAGTTTGGGTTTTTCGTTGTTTTCTACAGTGAAAATTTCACTCCACTCTTCTTGAGAAAACAAAGATTTTGTTGCTGCATCAATATCATTAATGATAAACGAATGCAGATAAGATTCTTGAGTTAAATTTTTTGCATAGTCATAGATAACTGTTTCAACTGTACGACCCGAAGTCTTAAGTTTCCACATTTTATTGGGATCCAAACTATTGTAAATAATTTCAAAGTTTGTTGGTTCAAATGTTTCACGTTTATTTTTGGATTAGACAGATTTTGCCTAAATCAACAAATAAAAAAATTTACTATTTATAACATTTGATATAACTGAAATAGACATTATTTACCTTATTGAATTCAGTATAATTTATGTTCTTTTGTTTCCGAAGTACTCTACTTGAGGGCTCACCGTTCTAAGAGAAATTTGAAAAATTATATAGAGACGGAAGAGATCTTTCATAACTACATAATTATCGTAAAATAAACATCTACCAAATTTTCTTGATCTGTGTCCAAAACACCTTGAACATTTTTTGAAATGGAATTTTTTGATTTATTGGTTTTCTCCCAATTTTTAGCACGTTGATAATCTGGTCTGCTTCCCTGTAAAAGATAAAGACATTAATTACTTACAAAAAAAAATAAAAATAAAAAAAAATAAAATAAAAAATTTCTTGTTTTTTGTATTGGTCATAAAGAGTTTGAGCTTTAAGTTTCTTTTTTCCAGAGCCATACTTAATTACGTATTCTAAGCTTTTAAGATATGCAATAGTTTTTTGTTGAAACATTGCTTCTGTGCATTCATTTAAGAATCGTAGAATGTCCCAATCCGTATAGTGCCTTTGAAAGTATTTATGCGGAAACATTAAGATAGAATCTGATAATAATTTTTTTGTTGGTTAATGAAATTGTGAATTTATTATGTGAAGATCAAACACATATTTGTAAATTGCCGCAGCTACTGCTACATAAATTTGAAAGATCAGGGGTACAAAAAGTTTTTGAGGTTCAGCATTAATTAATTAATATGTAATTTGGTATCTGAAATTTAAATTTGGATCAAATATTCGGATTTGGTGACTGAATTTTTGTAAATCAATTGATCGGGTAACTTATTTATCGCTTTAAAAATCACTACTAAAGCATCACTCTGTAGATCAATTACCCAAGTAACTTATTTATGCGCTTTAAAGTACTTTTGAAAACATAATGTTTCACTACTAAAAAATCACCACAAATATCGTTTATAGTTTCAACAAAGAGTCAACGTTCACCGTGTAAAGAATTACAACTTTCAAAAAACTTTGCTTAGAAGACAAAATATGCCAAATGTTTATTTGGTTCATATCAAATTAAACTTTAGAATTAAATCGTTTTTGTTAAAACTACTTTTTTTGCGTTAAATTTAGTAATTTTTATTTAATTTAAATAGGAATAAGCTTATTATAGAAGATCTGAATTTAATACATAAAAGTTAAGTTCTTGTAGTGTGCTCAAGTCTTTTGTAATAAATTTTGGTTTATACAGATTATAGATTGTATTAATAAGTTTGGATTCAATTAGAGTACGTGCTATAGCACATCTCTAAGTCAATACTACCTTTTATATTTTGCTGTAACCAAGAGAAAGTCTTTGCTGCAACGATGCCAGATTAATTCAGGGTTATAAACATAGACCGGGTTTATTAAGGGAGAAAGGGTTTCATTTGGTTGGTAGATCCCTTCAGCAAGTGTATAAGCGTGGGGTTTTATGACAATATTATAGATAGTTGTTATGCGTAACGAGTTTTAAGGTTGTAGATCTGTTGATCTAGAGTTTTAAGGTCAAAATTTACGGATGATAATGGTTGATGGCGCATTTGCAGAAACATTATAGCGGAATTTTTTATTATGGGCTCTATTTATAGTAAAATTTGGGTATGAAACACATATACACTTTTCTTATCGAATTGAAGCAGAAAGTATTGTTCTATTTATTAATTCATGCGTTGGATTTGTTATATTTGTGCATTTTTACTTTCAAGGGTTTCAAACATAAGCTTTGGGTATTGAACACAGATTTTGGGTTTGAATCCTCGATTGAGTGTTCCAAATTCAGATATTGAGTTTCGAATCTGTGCACAACCATACACTTAGAGAATTACAGCAAGTAGAAAAATATATTCGGGGACAAGAATATTTAGAAATTCTAGCATGTTATTTTTTTCACGCAACATCTATACACATGCGATAAATTAATTCTTTTGCATAAATTTCTTTATATGAAGATTTTTTTGTTTTTTAGCCTATACAAAAAAAACCGATTGTAGCATGATTCTAGTTCTGTTTAGGTCTCGACCTTTTCAAGCTCGATTTGGTGTAGATAAATGTTTTAAGTAATACATTATTAGTATGCGATCTATAAGAACCTAAAGCAGCACAGAGCATGAGCACAAATATGGAAATATTGAACCCTCAACATATTTATAAGTGTTTCATCTTTATTTTACGTGTTCGTTTTTTCAACTTATTTTGTATCAGAGAAATGATAATTGATGATCGGCATTTAACATTTTCAGTAGCGTTCCTACAAAAAATTGTTGCCCCCTATAATTTTGACAATTAATTAGATGTTATGTAAATTAAAACAAACATGTTTTATTTTCGAAGTAAAATATTGCATGTAAAATTAGTTTTAAAAAAGTCGCATTATAATGAGGGTTAGAATGAGATCAATATGCCGTTTATCACTAAAATTTCACATGAAACATTTTTAATAAGGCTGCAGGTGGTTTTCTAATTAAAACTTAGAGCTATTCTCATTGTTCTTTAAAGGTGGGTTTGCCGATTTTTACGTTATTCTTTTCTTGATCCCGAAATTCGATTGGTAAAAACTACATGAAAGGGTGAAATCCGTGCAGAGGTGATAACTTTCTCAATGCTGATCTATACTTAATTAGAGCTAGTCACTATTTTAGATAGGATTTGCATCAACAATAGGGACAGATTAGTGAAGCAACCAATCGACCAAAATTTAGAGTCGGAATAGGCCCGGAACTATACTATAGCAAAATTATTATCTGTGCAGCTTTACTTAGCACGTAACCATTTTATTAGTAAATTTTTGGGTGACTTTGGGAGAAATTGATCAATTCCGGCCTTTCCCAATAATAGGGATGGACAATTATACGATACCGTATAATAAAAATGATATAATAACTGTATAATTGGTATTGTATAATTATTTATAGTTATCGTACATTTTGTGCATGATAACTATTTTATCGTTTGGGTCTTATGTAACAGTTTCTGACGTCAAATAAAGTTTTTTTTTTATGATATTTAAGCTATTTATCTTTTTTCTTTTATCTTTTTCTTATTTGGATCCTAAAAAATGACTATTAGATATTTACATGAAGAAGCTAACCATTTAAAAAAATCTATCTTATTTAGCCCAATAAAAAAAATTGTACAGTAATTATACAGTAATTATATAGTAAATACTGAAAATATACTGAAAATATATTAAAAATATACCAAAATGTTGCAAAAACAAAATGTTTTAATTTATTTATATAAAAAATATATAGAAAATATCTAGTAAATATATAGAAAATATCTAGTAAATATATAGAAAATATGCCAAAACTGCAACAATTGTACATTTTTTATATATTTTCTATTTATTTTCTATATAAATAGTTTTTATAGGGTAGCTAATACTGAAAAAAACACTACTAAATAGCTCCGCCATGTTGATAGATATCGTCAAGCAAATAGTATTAATAAAACGATTGATCAATTGACAATAAAGCTGAACTCGATGAATTTTTAAGCTTGTTTATT